TTATTACATTTTTATCATGAGATTTAAGGACACAGGGTAAAAAATTAAAAAAAAAGGTTAAAAGAAAAAGCAAATAAGATCCGTAGATTTTCTTTGAATCTGATTCAGGAAAAATATTTGTTTCCTTTTTCGGTATTTCTTTAGTTTAATTTTGATAGTTTTAATTAGATTTTTTAATTTTTTAAATATAAATTTGAGATAAAAATTTAATAATTTATATAAATATTAATTAAAATTTTTTTTCTTCATATAATTTTATTGAATATTTTTATTTGATCAACAACATTTTTAATTATTATTTATTTAATATGTTACATTTTCATATAAAATTCATGTTTAAAACTTTTAAAAATCAAATTAAAATTACTCAAGTTAAATTGGGGAAAGTAAAGATAAAATGAAGGAAATTCAATCAAGCTAACAATTGATTTTGGCACTTGCCCTTTTTAAACTAAATGATTATAAGTCATGTTGAATGGTCCAGTTTTTGTCCAAAAGTTGGATTAGAATCTCCCTCTTCAAAAAGTGTAACTTGCTAAAAAAATTTGATTTTGGTGATTTTAATTACGAACAAATACAATAAATAAATAATCGGCTCATCTTATGTGTATTGAAGTTTTTTCTTTATATATGGCCCAAAAAAGAGTGTTTTCATTATATTTTTTAGAGTTTAATCTTTTAAATAGTTATAATAATCTTCTTTGTTAATATTTTGAGTCTAATTTTAAAGTGCAATAAACTATAAAAAAATAAATTATTGTATATATGATAACCCTAAATATTAAAAAAACTCACCCGTTATTTAAAAGTTAATTTAATGCATCCGAAACTTCTCTAAATTGCATTAAACATTTCTCATATGTTGATGTACACTTTTTTTAATATAATATTGTTGTAGCTTTTTTTTTTCAAAAAGAAAATTACCATAAGGGTTATGCTTAGATTTGATGTTATGAACAATATTAACAAACACCATATCTCACACAAATCAACAATTAATTGTTATGAAATTACCATTAGATAACTAAAGAGAATAAAAAGAGCATAAAAATATAATAACATACCAACGAGTTAAAATAATTCAGTAGTAATTTTTTTTTTTATTAGAAGTAAAAGATCTTAAATTTAAGTTATATGACATACAAATAAAGTAGAATAAGGAATGAAAAAAATTACTTTTTATTGTGTAATTAATTAAAAATATATATATATATATATATAATAACATGACGAAAATAATATTAATATGACACCCTTGCGAGAAGATAAAAGGGAACATAAAATTATAATGTTACCGTGACTACACAAATTCTTAAAACTACAATACATAGTCGCGCCGCTTACGAAGAAAACAAGAGTGGGGATGGCGCCATGGTATTTTTCTCAGTGAAGTTTGTAGGCAGCTGTATATCTAACTGGGCCAGAAAGAATATATTTAAGACTTCTTTTT